TCTCAATGGTTTTATAACCAGCAGCAACACTGTTACGTTGGACTGTATTAGAAACTCGAAGTCTCTGGGCCCATCCCCAGACCTACTAAATCAGCAACTTAAATTTTAACAATCTCCAGGAGATTCCATGCTGAAGTTTGAGAACCATTGGTCTCAAGTTTCCATACTCAATTTGATGTATGTATGTTAAATGATTACCATGTTGAAAATTCCATGGGCCGGTCGAGTGGTGTGTTGGTTAACAACTGGCTTGGGATGCCAGAGGGGCCCGGTTTGGACCCCACATATGAAGGCCAGTGACACTGCCCTCTACAGCTACGATGCTGAACAACAGCTCAACCTGGAACTGGGCTGCCGTGAGTCGGTGACGGCGTGGGCTGCAGCCCCGGCTGCACTGGGTTGCCATGGGCTACTGTGTGTAGCCAGCAGCCAGTGTGAGCGGCCAGCAGCCGCTGTGAGTGGCCATCCAGAAGCCGGCGACTGATCTGCCTCGCCCAGGAAGAGCGCAATGATGGTGCCAACTTGGGCCAGTGAAGCAACATCCTCCACAACTAGACTGAAGAAGAAAAGGACAGCAACTTGTCTGTTCCCCTTCCCCTAATTCCCTAGCGCTGTTCCCATCCCCCAGTTCCCCAATAAAAATCTTTAAAAAAAAAAAAAAATTCCAAAATGTAAAATTGTGGTCCTACCTAAAATGACTCTAAACATATCAAAATAATATTAACTCATTTACTCATTGCCCACATCACAGCAGCTCTTCCCCTAAACCTGACAAAATGCCTAATCTGTACCCTGATTAGACCACCTAAAAAAGTCTACTTTCATAGGTCTTACTGGAAACTGAGCTAAATTCCAAACATGAAAAGAGCACAGAGGTCCAAATTGAATCTCCAGAAGTTAAATCAGAAGCCATATTAGGAAGAGGAAAAAACTATTTTGAATATCAGCAGTAGAAGCTTGATAAATCTTGGTCCATAGTTCCATAATCCGTTTTATCCCTGGTTCAATGCCATCACTTCAACAAACTTCCAATTGCCACAGGAGAAGTTATAACCCTCAGAAATATTTCCCAAGATTCAAGTTGCTCCAAGTAAACATATATAGACACTGGCTTTCAAAGAGCATGTTTTTATCATGAGTAAAGCTAATCAGATGCTTTTACCATATACACTACAGCAAAAAGTGCTCAAGCTGTCCCTGCTCCTTACCGAGACCAGCCCTTTACAGGACGCTACCTGACCCCTCTCTTTTCAAAGCAATATTTACACCAAGAACCTTCCTTCCTTCCTCAACTCAAGTTCTTAATCTTAGTACAGCTTTATGTGTATTCAAGTTTGCCTATTTCTCATACAGCCTTTCCTTAAGGGAATGAAAGACAGAGTATCAGAAGTACACTGAATCACCAACCAGAATTTGAGAACCTACTATATGCCAGATAACTCTTTTAAGCTATTCACTTGCATAGGCAAGTCATTAATTTTACAAAGTTCAGGGTTCCACTTATTTTTTAATATTTAAAACATAAATCTGAACACTGAAGAGTTAACTAGCGCAAGTCTGCACGACAGGGTAGCTATAAACCCGAGTTAAAACGCTTACTGACTTGATTAAAGTTGTTAAAGGTGCAGAAAACTCTGGGAAGCCCATGCTCAGGCAAGTTTTTAATCTGCCTGGTTACGTACAACCACCCACCTTTCTTTCCAGCTCCCACTCACCCAAGGGCTGGCAGCACTGCTGGGAGCTACCTTCCTAGAAGGAAGGGCACCTATTTATTTTCCTCCTCCCAAAGCACCATCAAATTTCCTGACAACCACAGCTGATTCCAAGAAACAAATGACTAAAGCTCTCCTCCCCACACAAGGTTTAGTGGAACTGAAATCAACTCCAACCACCTAAAGACCTTCCCGTTTATATTCTTCTCCTGCCTTTTAAAAGTCCAGTGCTTTCTGCAAAACATCTCGCAAAACGCAATCCTCCTAACTAGTCCTTCTTCTCCACTAACATTGCCATTTCTATACCTAGAACAGGCAAAGCTTTTATGAAAGCAACAGCTATGTTTTCCCATCTCCCTTCTGTAACAATCTCAACAAGCTATCCAATCAGGAACAAACAAGCCTGACTAACAACAGCCCCTACCAAATCAGCAAGAGAATGCTCCACTCTCAATCATAAGTGAAGCAAGGTGAAAATCATGCTCTCCTAAAAGATGAGAAAGATATATTAAGTGAGCATTCAAGAGGGAAAAAAAAAAAAAACTTTTACAAGCCTGGATAACTTAAGTATTTGCTCATAGCAAGTATCCAGTAATCTTGCTATATGTATCCACTTAATGCTACCAGTTCTTTCAAAGAATCAGTGATGGAAGAAAGCAAAGAATAAAATTATGCTCAAACAGCTTAGTCACATAAGATTTTAACAATACACAAGCCATTTTAAAAAAAAACAGTTCAAATGTACTTAATAAAGACCAATAAATCCAGATCCTGGTCTAGGTTCCTGACCACAGGGAGAACCAGAGAACTCTTTAGAACTTATTTCTAAAATTACTGACAATTTCTGCACTTTAAATTAGGTTACCATTTCCCTGAAAATACTCTCATTTCATAAAACTGACTTAAATCACTCATTGCAATAATTGCAATTACAATAGAAATAGTTGTAGTACATTTGTACCATCGTCAACGGAATGCTATAAGAAAAATATCTGATGGAAATCTCCAATAAGCAGCAGCCAGTGCACCATCTAGTGGAAGTTGTGTAATGTCGTAATTAATTTTTTTTAAAAAAGCACCGAAACCCTATGTAAGAACACAAGCAACTACTTTAAAAACAGCCTAAATTCTTTCCAGTTTCCCACACTGCAAGGGAGCTGTGATTATCAAAAGAGAGGACTCATTTTCCATACAAATTAACAGACAATAAAGGTTTCTTGATGGAAATTCTTGCTTGGGAGCTAGACATTTTAATCTGACAGGAGAGGAAAAATTAAGTAAAGGCATTAATATAAAAACAAATAAACAGAATCAGAGCTAGATGACAGGGCTTGCGTAAAGGATGCTTTATATCCTACACAAATAAGTTATGTCAAAACATACATGTTACAAGCATCAGAAGCATCAGCAACAAAAACAAGGAATTGCTTCATGATTAGAACAGTTCCATTCAGTAATTCATAAGACATTTCCATGTGCCTGATGACTAATAAATTTAACATAACCTAACAATACTCTAGAGTTCTCTGAACCTTGACACCATTTAAGAGATTCCTCCCAAATACCCATCGAAGCCTGCTCTCAATTAACTCCTACACTCTCTTGAGTTATTCCAATTAAGGAAAAAGTGATTTTTACATTTTCAACCCTTCTATTAAATTTATAGTAAAAACTTCCCAAAACAAAGTCATACATCATGACCAAAATGCATTACCTCATTTTTATTTGCCTTATGCATATTATTTCAATGCAAATCAAAACCTGTACTTAAGCCCATTGATACAAACACAAAGTTCTCTAATTTGGAACACCTCCCAAAATTTAAAATAGAAATTTTCACATAGCACCACTAGGTTGTTTTGTTTTTGACAGTGCAAAAAATTACCTTTCTGGTGTGATTCAAACTATCTTAGCAACCTAGGAGGAAAAAAACTAAGACAATATTTCTTTACTTCGAAATAGCCATCTCCATCTGACTCATGTACATATGATCAAATCGGTATGCAGAGCTTGCTTGATGGTGGGGACCCTACTGGATCCTGGATTAAATCCATTAAAGGTACAAAATCGAGTAGGAGTTAAGTAACCTGGGGCAGAATTACTTTCACCTCTAGGGCGTTCTAGGTTTTTCACCTGTGAAATGGGCATGATAAACAGCACCGGTCTCCAGAGAGTAGGACACTAAAATTGATGCCATGTTATGAGCATCTCAATTAAAAGACCTAAATGGAAATACCGGCTTGTAGAAGAGAGTGCACCTGGAAGGCGAGAACACTGCTCCAAGAGTCCTCACAGTGCCATTACTGCTAAAACTCGTGACCTTCACCGTTTCACTTGTGAACAAATGGTGAATGAAAAAAGGTTATTAAACATACCAAAGAAAAGGGAACAGCAATTCAAGATGTTTCTCTATTAGCAAATCAAATCATGTAGCTAATTGCCTAGGGCTTGTCTACAAAGTATTACTGCATGCATAGCAGGTGTATCCCTAAAACCCAAACCCCAGAGACTGTTTTAAAAGAGGGTTTAAAAGGCATTGAATGCTGTTTTAAAAAAAATTAGAAAAAGAAAAAAGAATCATCATTTTACTCTCACCCACGACAGAGTGACAGAAACAAGGTCCCACCCCCACAATCCCTTCAAACCTGCACAGGCATTCCTCATCAACATTCCTCCCCCTCGTTCCGATCGCGCCGCTCCCCACTTCAGCCCAGACAAAGGTGAGTCACCCTGCTGGGTCTACTTGTCACTTGAGGAAAAGCCCCCAAACAAGTTCACGTTAAAGGTTGTTTTTCATTGAAAAGATAAGAAATAAGTAAGCAATGTCAACGTATAAATAGCACTGCAAAGCTCCTGTCTCCAGAAAATGTGTAATTAACAGTACCCAAGTAGACACCTTTCTCAAATTTAAAAAAAAAAAAAAAAAAACAAACCACTCAGCTTATCACTACTTATCAGTAGGTCCTTTTCCCTCTGATACCTAACTCTGACTCAACTCTGCGGTTTTCCCTCCACCTGCACGTCCCACCGCCCTCCTAGGGCCCAGCCGCCTCGCCCGGAGTCCTGCAAGATCCCCAAGGGGTCCCGCCTGCAGCTGCCCCTCGCCCGGACCCGCCCCCTCTCCTCCGCAAGGTGCCGCGGCCGCTGCAGGCTCTCGGACCCAGGCGCCTGGAGGCGGGCGGGAGGCGGCCCGGCCGCAGCCGGCGGGAGCAGCAAGGGGAGCAGACCCCCACCGCCCGCACCGCGCCCGGTGCGCCAATCGGCGCAGCAGCTCCGGCGCCCCATTACCTGCTCTGGGGTGCGGTGCCCCGCGGGAGGCACGCTCACTCTGGCCCCTGCAGCCCCTGGCTCGGAGGCAAGGAGACGGCGACAGCGGCAGCCGCAAAGGACAATCAGGAGCCAGCGGACGCAGAACGCACGAGCCCAGTAGGAGCCAAGCCCCCACCTCCAGCCCTGCGAGTAACCGACTCAGCCCCCTCCCTCGGCGAGGCGGGGCCAGAGGGGAGGGGGCGGGAGCTGGGGCTGGGCTGCACCGCCCGCGGGGCGTGAGCGCCGCGGACACTTTGTAAGAGGCGCCTGCCGATAGGCTGAGGTAGGGGTAGGTGTCTCAGACTTGAAGACAGCCTCGCCAGCAGAGTTCCCTGATTGGTCGGTAAGAGAAAACAAAGCCGAGCCCTGATTGGTGACAGTTGTGTAGCTCCTCTTCCCCTACCTTCAATCATCGGAAGCTCCGCCTCCACCCGCTGGGTTCCCAGGTGGCTGCTGAATGGGCTGTGTTTTATAGACCAGCAGCCTACCTGAAGAGAACCCCGGATACCCAGGTTCCTTTGTCAGTTGCGAGCTTCCTTAACCTACTGATTCTTTTGATTTTCGTATGAACTTGGTGAATAACATCTAATCTTTGACATCGCTTGGATTTTGAGAAGTCTCAGGGGTGTTTTTTAAATGCTGCATAAGATTCAGAGTGAAATTGCCATATGCAAAGAAAAGGCATAAAATGTTTTCACCCCAGTGAGAGTATGCATGACTTTTTTTTATTATTATTACCTTTTTGTGTTCCATATTGAGCATATATTACTTTTATAATTAGGAGGAAATTTAAAAAAATAGAAAATGAGGAAGGTGCACAGCATGGTAAAGGCAAACTTTTTAGGATATTGAGGGGGCTAATTCTTCCACAATAGAAGAAAATAAAGTAACATATGCAACAGCTGAGGGCCATCAAAAAATATGTATTGGTTTCAGCTCCCTTCAGCTCTCTTAAAGAACTTTACAAATATGACTGAGGTTTCCCCATCCTCTTTCCTGAGTAACTACTATTTTTCCAACACATACAAATAGTGTAGAATGCATTACACTATAAACAGATCCTCCCTAACAGAAAAAATTTAGACTCCAAAGTACCAAATAAATAAAGCTTTAACCAAAAAAAAGAAAGACTACCAAAAGAAATTCAGAAGATACAAATAAGAAAACTCAGATAATGCAGGGAATTATAAGAAAGAAAGGAATATGACAGGCCTTCAAGATATGACTCGGCTTTGAAAGTTGAAAGCTGGAGAGAGGAAGGAGTTTAGATAATTATCAATGACCCATAGTTGAAGTAATCGGAGCTCTCAGACCACATCAGCTAAGCCCCAAGTCATCCTAGTTGGTTTAGAAGGGGAGAAACATCTCTCACCTGGGGACCACACTCACTTAACTCTCTCTGGCTGTCATACTATTCTACAATATTTGTTCTTGTCATTCCTATGAGATTCGGAAATAAGCTATTCAGAACTAAGCACTTCTCCCAACAACTCTATAATAGTAATAAAAAAAATGGAGATTGACAAAAATCAAACTGGCAGAAGTAAAGGAATGTTTAGGTAAACATGAACTTGTGAAGAAGTAATGACAAGAAACTTGATACAAAGATTAGGACAAATCCCCTTTTCTCTTTTTTCCTAAGAATAAGGTAAAAGCTCTTTAGAGGACAGTAACCTCATTAACAGATTTTTTTTTACAGAATGCTTGTAAATACATGGGCTCCTAAACAATAGTCTGAAAATGTGTCCCAGAGTAGTCTGAGCAAGTAACTTAGTGTTGAGATATATTTATGTTCAAATATGTAGGGGGAAAAAAAGAGGTGATAAGTTGAACTTACAGTATTAGCAGATCTATAAGGTAGGAGAGCACTCCCCACTATAGAGGGACAATCAGAGGAAATGCTGGGGAATGTCAGAGTGCCTCAGTGTCTCCAGCTGATAGTGGCAAGTGAAAAAGTAAATTAAAAACGTAATCTTTAAAATGTATGGCACGGTGCTTCAAGGCCACTGGCAAGTTACCTCTGCATCCCAATAATAGAGTTCAAAAATTAATTATAAAGATAGAGGGTGCCTGATAGAATCCAAGGGCAAAAATAAGTCAGTCCTCAGGAAGACCCGGAGCCAGGACTAGAAAAGCCATGAGGAACTCAGCTGAAGTTTTCTCACTCTTCAAACCTGCCCCTCTCTACAATTCTGCTCTAATTCTTCTTTATTTTTCTCTGGAAAACAGCTTTTCTGGCTTCTAAATCCATGAGTCAGAGTAAAGCTACCCCAGAGGGCCCCCTCCCTCCATACACAATGACTTGAATCAACTCCCTTGACCCAATCCCAAATTCTGTGGAGAGAAAATATGACTGGTCCAGCCTGGTCTCCCTCTCCCCACAGCCCCATCACATGATCAGAGAGGTGATACTGGAGGGGAATCACCAACATGGCTGCAGGGCCCATTCCTGTTGATGGGCAGTTATTTCCCAGAGAATAGGCGCTGGGCAGGTTACCAGAGAGGCATCATCATGTTTGCCAGGTTTTCAATTGTTAGTCAGTGAGGCTCCATTTTTCCAGTCAGTGAAAGTTTTTGCCTGTCTTTTCATACTAAAATGGAGACCCAGAGGTCAAGGCCAAAGCCTTCTATGGTGATTTCCAGCTTTCTTGAAATCTCTCTCTCT